CGCAAGAACTCCATTTCACCTCAAATTGGGAACTGATGGAAAAGTTACGCGATCCTCAAATAAATTGGCACTATCGGTATTACCGCATGCACCAAAAGTATGTGTACCAAGCAAATTGTATCCATATCGCGAAACGACGTTGACTTAGCATGGAAGAGGAGAATGCTCCATTGCAGAAGGCTAACAACGAGAATGGAGGTGAGCTGCTTACTAACAACCAAACAATTATTATTTACGCTGGAGAATAGTCTGGCTGAGCCTTGTCAATACTTGAAGATGGAGTAGAAGCGAAGTACTATCCTGATGGCTACGACGCGACTTATGCGGACTATTACTACCAGCAGCAACAAGAAGGAGAAGACTATTATGCATCGTACCAGCAGGAAGGATACGACGGGTATTACTCGCACGATCCGAACAGTACTGATCCGTATCAGTACCAGTACAGCTATGAAGCCAACGATGCCTTCGCTACCGCCGAAGGACAAGACTACAGTTATTATACTGGTGGTGAGGGGTACGAAGCAGATCAGCAAGAGTACAATACCACAGACATGCCGGAATCATGGAGTTATAGTCCGGAAGACGGTCAGCAATTCTACTTGGATCAACTTACGACGGAGCAGACGTCTGGGTACTACTACGATGAACAAGGAAATTTAATCAATGTGCATGGAGGAGAATCTCCAACGAATGTTTTTAATCAGGAAGAATACTGGCAGGGCAGCAGTAATTCGTCATATATTGAAGAAACAACTTCAGTAACTAAAGATGAGAGCCCTCAGAATGCAACAGATACGGAGGAGCTTGGTGTTACGGACTTCACTCCCACGACCGATGATGTACCGACGCCAGACCTTGAATCCTCACTGAAAACCAAAAAGAAAAAGAAAAATGACAGGGCAGTGTCGCCATCAAAGAAAAAGGTAAGGTTCTATGCTATGTGGCCACCTCAACGCCTAATTTGTTTCCATTCCCGATTGAGCAGAAGACGAAGAGGGAACGCATTGAACAGCGCCAAGCTTTGTTAGAAAAGGAGGAAGAAGAACGACTGAAAGCACAGGAATCTGCTCAGGTTACTACCTCAAATAAAAACGCACCTGGAACTGATGGTGCAGCAGCAAGTAATAAAACGAGCAAGTTGACGACGAAAAAGACAGCGTTTTTGGATCGCGAGAGGGCAAAGTTCCAGCTGAAGCTGCGCATTACTAAAGCAATCAAGCGCAACCGAATGCCAGTGCAAATCCGCATCCTTCCGACGGTAAAGAATATTGCCGGGTTGCGTTTATCCTCTGCTTCTCAGTAACTGATCTTTGCAAATTAAGTGTAGACTCGAAAGCACTTGACTCCAATGGACAAATATTTCGGAAGCAAAAGCGTCGAATGTGTTCTCTCTGACATTTTCTGGGCGTCGATAAAAGGAGATATCGGACGTATGAAGCATCTAGTCGAGGTTGAGGGAGAAAGCCCGACAGATAGTAAGCTGGACCCATGGAATGTGCGTATATTACTTCATCATAGGCGCTTTACTTGTCCTGACAGCTATTCCTCACTACTGAAACGACTGCTGTTCTCAACCAGCTTCACCAAACACCTCTCCACTGGTAAAAAGAAACTATGTATTCAGGTGGCATCCTAACAACATAATTTGACTCTTTTTCGTGATTTAGGGCAGCAAAAGGCGGATCCGTGCCTGTTGTGAGCTATCTACTAGCAGCGGGTGCCAGTCCAAGATGCCTGGATGACAACGGCAGTTTACCCCTGTACGTGTGATATATTTATTTCAGCGAACTGACGTGCTTACTCTGAATTTATGTGCTAGCCATCTCTCGTGCTGGGCTGGCCATGTTGACGCTAGTATATTGCTGTTACGTGCCTCCGATGTGAAGGATCTGTATGTGCAGGACTATGATGTACGCCACTGTCACTCGCTTCAAAGTATTGGTAGGTGCACTAAATTACCGATCTGGTGTATAGGGTGCCATGTGTCCTCTAGATTGGGCGAATGTTCGTGGACACACGAAGTTGCTCAAGGCAATCGAAAAGGTTTGTGTATCATCATTGCCAAGTCACGATGATTTACGGTGATTAATATTTACTTCATTCAGTACCAAGACTCGTTGTGGCTGCCCAAATTTGTGGATGAATTGATTCGAGGGATCGTACGCTACAAGATTAAAATCTTCAAAGACCCACCAAAGAAGCCCGTAAAGGCGGAAGAAAAGGATACTCCTGTCGGTTCTGAAGCGAAACTCGACCCGGTCCCAACGATTGTTGAATCTGCGGACAACGCTGCTGAAAACTTGGCAAAAGAGATTGCGAACACTTCTACGGATTCACTAGAATAAAGGCAATATTGAAGCGTGCGTCAGGAAACACGACAAAGCATGAAGAAGTATTTTTCTTTGAGATAGTGAAATTACTGAACTGTGAATGCTAGTTTTTTTGTTGAATGCTTTAATGCCCTTCA